TAGGTTTTGGGAACACAGAGCCAGGAGCTCACTTCTTGCCAGTGCACAGCCTGGAGGGGAGAAGAAAAACAGACTCTTGCTGTATCTGTCCTGTACCCAGTGTGTGACTGGCGCTGTGGGGCTGCAGGACAAGGGGAACCAGCGCTCCGGCTGGCATCACCAGGACTTCACAGAGGCGCAAATGTCTGAGCTGTGTCTCAAAGAATGAGCAGTTTTCCACGAAGGGAAGGGAGAAGCCCATCTGTTATGGCTCCCAGAGAATGAGATGCCTGATTTCACTCATTTTCATTCATTCATTCGTTCATTCATTCCCCTCCCCACTGATGGCAAAATCAGTAAGAGGAAATTGTACACAACCTAAATGGCCAACAACAAGAGCTTGGTTAAATCACTGCACTTCCAAACGACAGAAAACTGTGACACTCTCAGGCATATTTTGATAAGCATCTAATTGCAGGCAAAATTCCGTATCCTGTTTGTGGCGGTAGTTACAAGACTGTACACGTTCGTCAAAACTCACACAACTGTACACTAATAGGTAAAGTATGCCCTCGTTTCTAAAGGAGGGAAAAAACCACCCTGGCTGGTGCAGCTCAGTGAACTGAGTGCCAGCCTGCACACTGGGAGGTCACCGGTTCGATTCCCAGTCAGGGCACACGCCTGAGTTGCAAGCCAGGTCCCTAGTAGGGGACACGTGAGAGGCAACCACACATTGATGTTTCTCTCCCACTCTTTCTCCCTCCCTTCCCCTCTCTTAAGTAAAAAATAAATACAATGTTTTTTAAATAATAAAAGAGGGAAAACGCCTTCTTTTAAAAAGGCAAGTTAAAAACAAGTATACACAGTACAAGCCCGAACTTGAAGCAGAAAACAATCTGTGTCCGGATGGAGTACGTACGATGTGAAGTTTATCTTGTATGTGAAAAGCGCTAGAGTGTTATTAATCAAGTGATAAAATTTTCACAAAATGAGCTTTACACGAAATAAAAGTGAAATTAAACTTTAAGTCTCAAATTTGTAAAAGAAAAACATACATGTCCGTGTGTGAAAAGCATTGTTGCCATTGCTGTTTTATATAAACATCACAGCTTTTCCTGCAACAGGGCACATTGGAGAGCCAGTGGTGGCCGAGGGGGGCTGTGGGTCATTTTCACGTCTTTCTTTGCGCTAGTCTGGGCTTTCTACATACTTTATGGCGAGTGTCAGTTACTTTTATCCTTGGAGGGGAAGCTTCACAAGGGTTACTTTATTACTTATTTTTAAATTTTTCTTTTATCGATTGATTTCAGAGAGAGGAAGGGGCGAGAGAGCGAGAGAGGCAGATTTCCTGGGTCCACTTATTGATGCACTCATTCATCCATTGATTCTTGTACATGCCCTGACCTGGGATCGAACTGCGAGCTTGGCGCATCGGGGTGGCACTCCAACCCACTGAGCTACGTGGCCAGAGCCACCACTGTCACCTTCCTAGAAGCTAAGCAAAACAGAACGGTGGGGAATGGCTCAGGATGCTAACGTGACTCTCAGATGCAGTCATGTGAACCACCCGACTACTGGTTCTCGGGAGTGTTTATCTGGACACCGCTGCCGAGATGGGCAGCAGCCCGACGGACCTCAGCCGGGGAGACCACGCACATGGAGATGCTCTGGGTCCCATTCTTCTGTTAGAGTTTCGATAAAGATAATAAGTTATGGGAGGGGGAGGCGGTAGAGAGTTTATTACTATGCCCGGGGCTGTGTCCTCACAAATGTGCCACAGGAATCTCGACCCTGGGTTATGTAGTTCGTTGTCAGCCCTGAGTGAGACACGGGCCGCCTCTCCTTCCCAGGGACTGAAGCAACCCAAGGGGGAGGGTCCCTGTGAGACCAGAGCGTGTCTCAGAGAGCTGGGTGTGGCTCACATCCAGGGAGAATGTGTAAGCACCTAATTAATGAACGGCGGTGTGACGAGCCACTGCAAGGACTGGCTGGGAGCGCTGTGGGGGTGGGGGGGCAGATGCGGTCCTCCCCGTCAGAGGAGGAGACTGAAACCCGGAGAGGAGGCAAAGGGGGTCTGCCCGCAGGCCCCCAGCCAGTCTGGGGTGGGGATGGGACTGGGCCCTTGAGCAACCCAGGGGCTCTCAGGTCCTGTGTCCACCCTGCTTGTATTTTCTGGGTCAATCATTTCACTTGTTCATCTGATTAATGCTCAGAGTAACTCCCTACATGGGTTCCGGTATCTTCCCATTTTGCAGATGAGGAAGCGGAAACCCAAGTGGCCGCTGAGCAGGGAGACCCTCCACCAGATGCTCCAGTTTCCACGGGGGACCCATTTCTCGGGGTCAGCCAATGAACCGAAATGTTGGCCCCTGGGTGAGCCAGCCTGTGGAGAGTGTGGCTGCCGCATGTCTGTCCCTGAGAGCGCAGACGAGAAAATCTCCTTTGCAGAGAATTTTATAGAAAACCCTTTGTCCGTGTGGCCTCACTCAATCCCACGTCATCTTACCGATGGCACTGGGACCTGGAGACATTAGGTGACCTGCCCAATGCCTGTGATTTGGTCAGAGCTGCGTCTAAAACACAAGAATAGTTCCAGGGCCAATGTCCCTGATGCCGCATCAAAAGGTGTCCCCACACCCCCAAAGCTGGGGACAGAGGGGCTGGTCCCCGGCACCCCCTGAGGCTCCGTGCTGCCTCCCAGCCACCCCATCTGAAATGTGCCCCACAGTCCCAGCACAAGGGCAGGCACAGCCAGTTCCCGGCTCTGACGGCATCTCACAGCCTCCCACGCGGGGGTGAGGACTTCTGTCCTCTTCACCTACACAGTTAAGTTTTAAAAGCAAGTCATCAGCTTCCCCCAGCTTCCTTCTTTGGACTTCACTGGATTCATCTGATAGAGTCATCTCATAAAAATGTAGAGAGACGGGCCCATGGGCAGTTCAGACTCTCAGAGGACTAGGCTTTTCCCCTTAACCTTGACCTTGGGCAAACTGTGTAACCCATCCTAAGCCCCTGTCTCCTCATCCATCAGACGGGGATAGGAAAGACTCACTAGCACACTGGGACATTGAAATGAGAGGTGAGGGCCTGGACACCCCTCCCCTACCCCTGCTGGCTCCCTGCCTGGTCCTGTCACCAGTCACCACTCCTCTCTTTGAAGTCACTTTCACACGTTACTTGTCCACACGGACCCCGGAGCTGGGTGCTCTGGTTCAGATGCCGACTCTGCTTCTTCCCATCCGGGGCTGTGCACCATCAGGAGAGCATGTTGACCTCTCTGGGCCTCAGTTTCCCCTTCCTAAAGCAAGGATCATAGCGTGGCCTCTCAGTGAGGGTCCAGTGAGTGCGGAAGAGGTCCCCAGTATCGCAGCCCTCTTATCACCAGTGAAAGTCCCTCTTCTGTGGGCCATGCCCGTCCCCCCTGGGAAAATCCGGGTCATGCCCCAGGCAGAGAGAGGGCCTGGGACCGAGAAGGGACAGTGGCTGGGGTCTTCCAAGGTTGCACTGGCTGTGGAGAGAGAGCAGTGTGGGGACACCCTGCGGGCTCAGCCCTGTCTTCCTCTCTGCAGCCTCCCCCTGCGTGTGGCCCACGGCAGCAATGGGGTGGCCGTCGCCTGGAGGCCCCAGGGAGAGACAGGCCTCAGGCCAGGGCTCCTTCCCCTGGCTTCTCAGCCCTGCGCCCCCAGTTCCAAAGGAAAGCAGTCAGGAAGTGGAGAGAAGGGCAAGTGCCATCCTTCCGTCACACTCGGACAAAAGGTAGGACGGCGGGCAGACTTCTACACAATCTGCGAGGTGCTGCCCTGAGAGAAGCAGGGCCCACCCGGCACCACCCGATGTTGTGACGACTGTCGATTGTATCGCCCACGCTTCACATCCCCGGGACTGTTTTCTAACAACGTGGAATTACCTTTACCTTTTTGTAAATGATTTTTGTTTAGTATTTACCTCTTATAATTCTTTGGAGAAGTAAAGTTACCAACCGACACAAGTTGGTTACTGGTTGGAAGGAAGCCATCGATCAAGTCCAAAGCGAGGGCAGGAAGTGCAGTCGTGTGGAGCTGAAGGTCCAGGTTGGCATTTCGGGAACCAGGATGGAAGCACACGGGGCAGGAGCAGCCACCGCGGGGCAGTCCGTCGGGCCATGGCCGAGGCAGGTCAGAAGGGCCCGGCCGGGCCCCCGCCCCTGCCAGCGGTGACCCACCCCCGCACACAAAGTAAATACTAATGGGTTTCTGCACACCCCGCGCTTCGCACCGGCCCTGGGACCGGCGTTCTCGGGAGCAAGTGACAGGCTCGAATTGTGCCTCTGACATGTGATTCCGCGTGGAGCTCCGAGGTTTGCTAACAGCTCGATGATATTTGAATTCCACTCAGCAATACTTGGCGGCATTTTCCAGTGAGGTTTTGTTTTTGGAAATTCTGTCGACATTTCATTTTTTTTTAGTTTCTGAATACAAGTCGACGTGTGTTGTTGTTACAGGGCTTGGGGTGTCCTGACTTCTGGTTCCCAAGCCTCGAAGGTTAGCATCTGCCGGGAACCGGGAACCTGTGGCTGATGACAGGTCGAGGGAGGAAGGTCACACTGGGCGGCAGTGCCCGCCGGCACCTGCACCCACACCGGGCTGGGAAGGGGAGCCGCCCGTCACTGGGCTGTCCCAGTACCTTCAGCTGAACAACCTCAAGTGCGAGGCAATGGCACTAACCCCAGGAAAGCTTCTTTCTTTCTTTTTTATACATCCTTAAAAATCACTGTAGCCCTGGCTGGTATGGCTCAGTGGGTTGGGCATTGACCTGTGAACTGGAAGGTCGCTGGTTCAAGTCCCAGTCAAGGCACATGCCTGGCTTGCAGGGCAGGTCCCCAGTGGGAGGTGGACGAGAGGCAACCACACATCCATGTTTCTCTCCCTCTTTCTCCCTCCCTTTCTTTAAAAATAACTAAATAAAATCTTTGTAAGAAAATCACTTTAATGGTCACAGATGATGGACAGCTGTTAAGTGATGCAATTTTTTTCTACATTCACGCCGCGAATATTTTGATCTATTTTCATTCATTTTTTTCATCGGGCATTTTCTTGTTGAGCCACTGTAGGCCAGACACTGGGCCAGGCACCAAAAACACATCGATGAGTCGAGACGCCAGAACTCACTGTCAGGGCAGAGACGCAGGCAGGCAGCGGGAAGTTTGCGGCCGGTTTGGAGATCATCTGCGCTGTGGCCGTTGACGGCTCTTCACCTGGGCTTGCATCAGCGGGACCACCGATGGTGAGAAGTAGCCTTGAGACCGCCCCCCCATGGCCTCGAGCCCCTCCTGTCATTTGGGAAAGGAGCCCAGAGGGAGGCAGACGAGCAGGCGCTCAGGGTCACTCACCACCGGATGCACGTGACCGGCCGAGAGCCCTTGTGCGCAGTGGGGTCTCTGTCCGGGGCCGCTGGTTGTCAGTCTTCACTGCTGGGACCAAGTTTGTTGGGAATCCAAGTTGTATGACTGTGTAAAGAGAAATTGAAAATGCTGGCAAACTTTGTTTTCGAGATCAGAGCGTGTGTGTACGAATCTGCTCATCGGGGGGCTCTACCAAGTCCCCCACATAGGCAACTGAAACCACAGACGCTCACGTCCCTGTCCTGGAGGCAGGAACCTGAGACGCAGACGTCACAGGGCTGGTTGCTCCCAAGGCCTCTCTCCTGGGCGTGCGGATGGCCGTCCCCTCCCTGCGTCCCCACACAGCCGTCCCTCTGTGCATGTCTGTGCCCTGATGTCCTCTTCCGGTGAGGACCCCCGTCACAAAGCACTAGAACCCACCCCAAGGACCTCACATTACCTTTGCCACCTCTTTCAAGACCCCGTCTCCACGTGTAGTCACCTTATGAAGTCCTGGGGGTTAGGACGCCAATCTGTGACCTTGGGGGACGCAGTCCTCCCTAGTGACCCCGGATGACCGGGGCGCAGACACACCAGCGTTCTCCCCGTCAGTGCGAACTTCCTGCCTCACTGCCACTGTCAACGTGGACGGTGGACCGGCCGCAGCTGCAGCGGAGGGAGGCTCAGGGCTCATGGAACAAACTTGACCTCTCGGAGAGCCCTTGTGTTTGGGAGCGAGTCTGAAGGCGCCCCGGCAGTCCGTCGCTCTCCACACTCCATTTCCGAGTTCCGCTTTCCACTGCCACTCGCGCAGACTCCCTGGACTCGGGTCTGCTTCCCGCGTGGCTAAACCTGGGAGCTGTTGGTGATGACGCGACGAATGTGCAGCTGGAAGCCGATGGCCTCGCCCTGGCCGTGGGCCTTCTCCGACTGGGGGCGTTAACACTGCGTTCAGGGTGCTGCGTGGGTTTCCCACAGGTCGCGTGCTATGGCAGGCCAGGGGCAGTGAACTTAGGTCAAAATAATTGGGCGGGTCAGACCAAAAGAGAAAAGAAAAATGTCCCCACCTCTGAGGTGACCTTGCTTCCCAGGAACGGAGCCTGGGCAGCCGGCTCTGCCCCCCCCAGCTGCCCTCCCCCACCCGTCCCCCACTGTCCCGCTTCCCCACTCTCCATGAACCTTCTCCTGGCCCTGGGATCACAAATGACGACCCACAGCCTGGCCGGGACTGATGAGAACATTGTTACATCCCTTCCAGCCTCCTCAGAACCAGCCGGCTGGGACTCGGACGGAAGAAGGAGCCACAGCGCGGGTTTCGTGGGCAGTGGGGGTGGGGATTTTTAAGTTTGGGTTGAAATATTTAGCTCTGAGCAATGCGTCCCTGAGCCAGGCCGGGCCACAGCAGCCTCCACGGTGCTGGGAAGCGGAGGGCTCGGGCGGAGCCAGGGGTGCAGCGTGGAGAATGAGGCCCCGGCTCCTGGGAGGCTGAGCCCTGATGCAGAGTGGGCTCTGCCCAGGACGGTGGGGAGACCCACGGCAGCGCTCCCGAGGCGGGTTTCCAAGAACGGTCCCGGAGGAGCGGCTGGGCGGGCTCTGGGAGCCACACGCTCCCGTCTCGAGGCTGCTGAGGCGCCTTTCCGGTCGGTGCGCAGCGCTCCGGAGTTCAGCCTTCTCACGGTCGGTGGGATGAGAACGTGTACGCCCTCCCTGGGGGGACCCCCAGGAGCTCCCCACCACGGGAAGTGGGGGGGGGATCCTCCGCACGGAGCCCCAGAGCCCGCCCTCCCCCAGGTGTGTGCCCTGAGAGGTTCTGGCAGGTGTGGGGGAGGGGCCAGCAGGCAGTCTGTCCCTCCGTCTGCCTGTCTGTCCGTCTCTCCATCCCGGCAGGTGCTCAGTCACCACGTGCCGCCCGCAGAGCCTCTGGCACCCGGTCCGGGTGGCAGCCGGGGACTGCGCTTGCCCCGCGCTCTCAGCTGCCGTGGGGAAGGCCTTCCTCATGCGGCGGGCGCCTCCCTGGGACCCAGCCTGCCCCTCAGGCCCCCGTGCACCTGCCCACAGGGCCCGCATCTCCCTGGCGGGACCTCATTCTTTCCGTCCTGATGATCTCTGGAGGGCCGACAGGAAAGAGGGGACAGGACAGGCAGGCTCCTGGGGAGGGGATAAGCCTCCAACAAGCAGTTACCTGTCCGCCTTTAATTACAGGGCGAGGCGGGCCCCGAGCAGAGGCCGGGAGGAGAGCTGACGGTAGCCAACCTACCGCACTGGGCCCCGCACGGGGCTAGTCTCCGGGGGGAGGGGAGGGCCCGTGTGCGGGTTGGGGGGCTGTGCAGGGCAGGTGCTGGCCACATTGGAACGCAGCTGCCCAGGCTCCCGAGGAAGCGTCCAGCAGCCCGCAGACGCCCCCACCTCCACCGCACTGAGCGGCAGGGAGCGGCAGTGCCAGAAGCACCCCCATCCTGCGGGGCCTGAACCTCGTCTCAAGTTCTCGGTTCACCGACTCTCATGAGAGCCGGCGCGGTCCCCGCCCACCCCCCACACAGTCACTGCAGGGTCTGACTCCTGGTTTGGGCAGCAAGTGGGCCGGCCTCTGCGTCCCCGACGTCCTTTGTCCTGTTCCTGCGTTCCTGTCCCTCTGTCCTCGAGGTCAGCTGCTCCTCGCGTGGCCGTGGCGCACAGGGTTCCGTCTGGGTCCGCATCTCTGCGTGACCCCAGGGCTCGTGGAGCCTGCCAGGCCCAGCTCTCGCCGCCGCCAAGATGGGCTCTGCCTCCAGACACAAACGGGACGTCTGGTGCGGTCGGGTCACTCTGGCCCATCCCCCTGCATTTCTGTCTCAGGTGCTGTGGCCTTCCCAGGGGAAGGACGCCAGTGACCATTCACTTCTGCCGAAGTCGTCCGTTGGCCGTGAACTTGCTGGCCCAGAGAGTTAATGTGTCCTTCATGAACGCGGCCCTGGACTTTGAGATCAAGCATCCCGATCACTCAGTAACTTTTGAGCACCTTCCTCTCTGCAGAGGGTAAAAGTGGTCCCTAAAAGACACAGCCACGTCCTGACTCCTGGGACCTGTGAGGGCAGTCTTCGTTTGGCATGAGGGTCTGCACTGACCTGATCGAGTTCAGGTATCCAGGTGAGAGGTCCTGCCTGGACCTGGGGTGGGCCCTGTGCAGAGTGGCTGTGTCCTTACAAAGAGAGAGGAGAACACACACACACACACACACACTCGCACGCGTGCGAGCCTACACGTGGGGCGAAGGGTGTGTGGAGACAGAGGCAGAGGTTGAGGTGACACAGCCACGGGCTCAGGGGCGCCCAGGGTTCTGTCAACTGCACGAAGCTGGGAGGGGCAGGCCTGGGGTCTCTCTCCACCTCCAGCAGGGGCCAGCCCGGCCCACTCCCTGAATTCGGACTCCCAGCCTCACAGAAGTGTGAGCAAACCTGTGCCTATGTTTTCAAGCCAACCAGTGTGTTAGTCTCGGAAACTGACACTCCCTAACACATGTATGCATTTACGCATGGAACCCATGCCCCACATTACCCTCCTCTGTCCACTCTGGAGCCACCATGCAGCTGGCGCAAAGCAGAAGGCCTGCAGGGAGAGGGGACAATGAAGGTGGGCCCCGGGGACCCAGGCTCCTGCGGGATGGGGTGTCGGGGTGCGCTGGGTCCGAGGCGATTGGCCCCGGCGCGCTGCATTTCTCCAGTGGGCGCCGGCACGTGGGCGCCCTGGTGTCTTATCATTACTTCCGCCTCCGCTCTTTGGTTAGAATGATCCACACAGCACTCGGGGCTCGTGTTTTGCACGCTCTGGCCTGTGGCTGGGCTACATCTCCAAAGTGCTCTGAGCCTCAGTTTCCTCATCAGTCCGGTGGGGGTTGGTGACAGTGCCCACTCCCAGCAGGGGACAGATGGGAGCGTCTGGCTGTGGTGACCGTGCTCACCAGGGAGAGGAGCATCCAACACACCACTGGTGCTTACGGCGGCGGTTCAGGAGTTTTCGGTGGGATAGAAAGAGATCAGCCCTTTGGGTCCGACAACGCAACACTTTTTCTTAATGTGACTTACACCTTCCGGGCAAGGCCTTGAATCCAGAGGAGGGCCGGCCACGCTGCTTCTGCTCCAAGTCTGGAAGTCTCATTGCATGGTGTCTCCATCCCCGTGGGTGACGGAAAAACAGGTTCCCTCGCCCTCTGCCCCATTTCCCACCCAGTGCTGTCAGCGCAGGACACCGGAAGGTGACAAGCACTGCTGTGGCCCTTTTCTCTCTGCGCTGCTTTCTGAGACTAGTCCAGGCATCTGCGGAAGGGCGAGGGAGGCCACGACCACCCCCAGCCCTGTGCCTCCCGCTCAGCTCAACCAGAAGCCTGGCTGCCAGGAGAGCTGCCCCCGCATGCCGGCCGAGTCAGATCACGCTCTGCCCTGGCTCCTGACACACTTGGAATGAAACTGCTGCTCGCTGGGCCCCGCTCCAGCCGGCCCGCTCTGAGGCCCTCCACCCCGCCGAGCTGGTTCCTGCCCCAGGGCCTTCGCACTTGCTGACCCTCCGGGACCAGAACAGGCAGGCCTGGCTCTTCTCACAGCTGACATCTCCCAGTCACTGAGTTCTCATGCCATAAATTCACCTCTCCTGGGAGGTCACCCCGCCAGGCAGCCCCTCCCCCCGGGCCCCTCTCCTGGGGGTCACCCTGCCGGGCAGCCCCTGCAGCCTGGCCTGCCTGTCCTTCTGCCCTCCCCGCATGGAGCTCTGTGCTCTGCTCCTCACTGGCCTTGGTCCTGCGGGAGAGGGAGAAGCCAGGAGCCTCAGGCAGTGGGGCAATGGGCTTGGTCCTGGGAGGGGAGGGAGGGAGAAGCCACCAGGCAAACCGCAGTCCGCTGCTGTGAGTCCGCCCCATCCTGTGAGGCCAGGTGCCCGCGACAGGGTGGGAAGGTGCTGCCTCAGGCCCCGCAGAAGCAGGGCAGCCTTTCCGGAAGAAGCAACGCTGAAGGAAGGACAGAAAGAAGGAGACTCTGTGGTGCGGAATGAGGGAGGAAGGTCCGGGCAGAGGGCAGAGCGGCCTAGAGACTTGGGAGGCAGGTGTTCGCTGAGGCCAGGGCGTTCTACCTGCCCTTCGCCCCCTCATCCCTGTGATCTGGGGGCTGCAACAGGCTCCGCCTTCAAAGAGATATTAAGCAAGAGGGAGGAGGGAGGTCCCCCTGCCGGCCCCCTCTCTGGGGCACGCACTCTGAGTGCAGCAGAGGGCCAGTCTTTTCCCACGGCCCACAGCAGGCTCCCCCTCCCCCCAGCTCCTGGGGGTGCAGGTGAGGGCCAGGTGCCACGGCCCCGCCCAGGGCCTGGCAGCAAACCGCCTGGGATAATAAGCTTCGGTCGCTCACGAGAAAGGTAATGAAGACCTCCAATAAAAATGGAAAAAACAAACTGGAGCACCTTCCCGCTGGTACAGGGGAGCCAGACAAAGCCCATGAGGACACACAGGGAGCCGGCCACCTGCCGCTGCAGAGGCAGAGGTCACAGAGGGCACAGCGGTGAGCTGAGGACCCCGAGGGAGGTGGGGAGGTCGGAAGAGGCAGGAAGGCTTCTTCTCTGGCACCTGTGGGAGAGCACGGCCCTGCGGACACCTTGAACTAGGGCTTCTGGTCCCCAGAACTCCGGGAGAGTGACTGTCTGGCTTTGAGGCACCCAGTCTGCAGCCCTTCTCAACCTGAGGACCCTCACCAGGGCCCTGGTCTGCGACCCGTCACCTCCCCACCCGCCTCCTGAGCTTCACACCCGTGCCTGTTCCCCCCCCCCCTCCGTGAGCTCTGTCCCCACTCTGGGACCCCCCCACACCAGAGCCCGGCCATCGCCCAGTCCTCCCTGCCTCTCACCCCACCACCCAGGGACTCAGCCCTGAATTGCTCCCGAGACCAAACAGAGCGACAACCACAAGGGACTCCCAGAACAATGGGGGAACCCGGCACAGACCGGGCAGCCCTGCCACTCCCGCGGGACTCCCAGCCCAGCGTGCCACCGGTCTCGGACTGACAGAGGAGATCCCAGCGGGAGCAGCGGAGGACCCGGGACAAAGCATCTCCTCCTCTGTGATCCTGCCA